CGGCTGCCCACACCATGGAAGTTGATTGATTCTTAGGGTACCTGGAATAGAAAGAGAGTTAGTGTTGCGTGACTGCAGAGCCCAGGGGACAACCACTTGAGGCCGGTCACACACGGTTTCTTGGATTGGTTCCGTATTAGTTAATTCACCGCCGGTTACGGACCACCATAGGGTAAGTGGTAAAGTACAGTTTTTGGAGTCGACTTTTTCTACCCCTCTCTCTCCCAGAGTGGAGAGACAGCAGAGTTGGCATGCTGGTCATCTGAAGGAACCACTTTTCTGCTGTTACTCCCCTGTTCCCAGCAGTACGACTTCGCCCACAGACACACAGCATAGTGTAAAGGAACATTCTTACACCATACCGGTAACTGCTTTTAGTCTAATCGCTATCCTAACAATCTTTCTGGCATGGTAGGACCTGCGGGAACGTTATTTCCAGCCAGTGTAACTTGTTGGGTCATTGCGATATGCAAGCCCGGCCACCACGTCAATATAGCAGCTATCGGTAGGGTCTGGTTTCCTGCTAACCAACACTCTCTCCAACCATTGATTCTTATAGCGTCTTGTGAACTCCAGATAAACGGATTACACCTTTTTATATGGACGTGAACCAACAGTCAAAGACTTCATTGGCTGATATCTTGCTTTCATCTAACTGCCCTTATGCCTTTCCAAACAAATCCTATGTCGGCTAAGATTGTTCGATGAAGAAGCCGATGCCTCAGTGTGCATAACACGTGTCGTATCCATCGCAATAGGTTCAACTTCCCCAATTTCTTTTTCTTGTTGCTGTAGATTATGTTCACTTTTTGCTAGCACAGGATTGTGCAATTAAACATCTTTGGTAACTTTCTCATCGAAGAGGTATCATCATTTCGACCTTATTACCGTTTCTTAACATAAATTTGTCAATAGCTACAGAGTAAATCAGTTGATAATTCTTTCTACCCTTGTTTTATTTCATTAAAATATTTAGCATAATTATTCCAACCATCGAGGTCGTGGCAATGGTCATGAACCTGATGGAGGAGTCACTGGACGAGGTGGACGTGGTCGTGGTCGGGGACGTCAAGCTGTAACTTATCGGGAGTCGACTGGTACTACTGGTCAGTCACACAATTCAAACACTAGTAACCATAGGCCTGTCAGTTGTTTAGCTGATGTTAATCCACTTTTGTCAACAGTAAGTTGTATTGTGTTACACCTAATTTCTGCATTTCTGTGTGTAGTTTTCTGAGCTACTTAGTAAACTTTAAAAACTACTTAGAATTATATATATATATATACATATATATATATATATAATCTCCCTTAATTCCTAGAGGAACATAGGGCTTCAGCCGTGAGTCTCCATTGCGTTCGGTTCTCTGCTAGAGTCTTCACCTGGCTTCAAGTCTGCCCACACGTTTTCATCTCCTCTTCACATGACCTCCTCCAAGTCACCCTTGCACTGACGACCAACTTGCCGCTTCCCTTTCGGGTTCCACTCGAGCTATGGCTTGTCTAGTGATGTCACTTGATGCTTTGTTTTCTCAGAGTATGGCCAATCCATCTCCATTTCTTCCTGCCTATTTGTTTCACAATCGGTTCCTGGTTGGTTCGCTCCCAGAGATCTCTGTTGCTTATCAACTCTGGCCATCTGATCTTGAGTATTGAGCGAAGACAACTGTTAATGAAGGTCTGTAGTTTGTTTGAGATGCTCTTTATGACGCGCTGGCCAAGTCTATGATCCGTATAGTAGCACTGACTTCACATTGGAGTTGAAAATCCGGATCTTATTTTTGATGCTGAGTGTTGTTGACCTCCACACAGACTTGAGAGTAGTGAAAGCTTGTCTTGCTTTCCCGATCCTCGCTGGTTTGACATCCTCCTCAGTTCCGTGCGGCTGTAGTTGAAATGATGCTTCCCAGGTAGGTGGGTAAAGGAGGTAGTTTCTTTCAGGTTCCTTCCATTTATGCTGGCTGATTGTTGTCTGTTGTTGTTGTTGCTGTTGATGGTGTTGTCCAGGAATCTTCATCACCTCTGTTTTCTTTATGTTCACCTGAAGTCCTATCTTTAATGCTTCTTCTGTCGCGAACTTGTTGCTTTTCACTTGCATATCTTCCAGTTTGTGGGAAATCAGACATATATCATCGGCGAAGTCCAGATCCTCCAAGTTTTTTGTGTGAGTTCATTTTATGCCTGTTTCCTCGCTGCCCGCTGTCTGTCTGTCGCATTATCCAATTTACTGCAATCAGGAAAATCATTGGAAATAGTAGATAGCCTTGTCTTACTCCTGTCCTCATTTCGAAGGATTCCGTAAGTTTCCCGTTGTGGATTACTTGGCATGCAGCATTGTCGTACAGCTGTTGGATGAGATGTATAATTGTCGGTGGCACCCCATAGTAGCGAAGTAGCTGCCAAAGCACCTCTCGATCGACGCTGTCGAAAGCCTTTTCAAAGTCGATGAAGTTGAGATAGAGAGGTGACTGCCATTCCAAGCTTTGTTCAATGATGATCCATAATGTGGCGATGTGATCAATACATGACTTGTTTCTCCTGAATTCAGCCTGTTCCAGTCGAAGTTTTGCTATAACATAATTAATGATAAGTCGCGATCCAAGCATCATGAATTTTAGATTTGTGCATTTACACTTCTGCCCAAATTGTTTTACGGACGGGACCCTGTGTCGTCGTTGTTCGTTTGTTTGTTTTCTCGTCAGCAAGTAGTTAGTACTTAGTTAACCTAGAACAAAGTTTTCATGTACCCAACAATTGTAGGCCACGCTTATCGAATGTGAAGGTTTGTTGTCCACGTTGAAGTAACTACAGACGGATTCCAATCCAAGACACCGTCGAGTAACTGAAACCAATAGGCCAGTCACACATCTGTCTTTGAGTTTTATTTTATTTGGTAATCACGGTTATCTGTTTCCTCTGGACTAACTTATGGCTGTTAAAGTCGAACAACTATGTTTTAATTGAAGTCAATTGGTTGGTGGTGACTAGCAGTGGAATCCAGGATG